CATTTATCTACACAATGGTGAAATCCGCAGCTCTCTAGCTCTTTCTGATCTTGAGTTATTGCAAAAATACCCGAGTCCATTTTATTGGACAGGCATTAGTTGCTTGTCAGATAATTTTTGTAGCTACTGTACAGAGGTGCAGAATCTTCGAAAAATCCAAAAATTTCCCCCCCCCCCCCCCGCCACAAAGTTTTTTGAAAAATTTCCCCACTGTATTTTTTTTGGCCAGCGGGTTTTTCCAAAATTTCTCTATTATTTGAGTTTTTCAAAAAATTTCCCTCCCCGCGCGGGGGCGCATGAGGAAGATTCTGCACCTCTGCTACTGTATCTAGCAATAATTATTATTACTTTTTCTATTTGCTGAAGACACATGAATGAAGCCCATTTATGGCCAGTTTTCAACGTAGATTAAACCTAATTGGAAAATCTACGCATTCAAAAGCTATGTACCGTCGGATGAGTTAGTTTCAATACTATTAGACGTTAGCATTCTAATGATACCCATATCATTGAGATTTAAATACGTGCAAAATAGTTCGAAAGACTACTATATGCACAATTATGAATCTTTCAAAGTTGGGGACTTACCATCAGTGGTAAAATTGAGATGCGACGTAACGTATCTTTGTATAAGCTCGGGTGTAAATAGATTAGCATCAATAATTTCTGGTAATAAGTCTTGAGAAATATCACATTGACATCGTGAAACCGAAACACATGCATGACCTTCTTCAATCCAACTAGGTAAGGCAAAAGCAATAGACTCACTCCAACTGGCATCTTCTGTGAAACTTTGTACCAGGGCACCAGCTGATAAAACGACAAACTCGCCTGGATGTTGAATAACTCGATGGTAACGAATATGATTTTTGTCTAGTATCGAAGGATCAATAAGTAACTGCCCATGGTTAAGACACATACCAGGTTTATAGTGATCAATTATTCTTTGTAGAACTTCTCGTTCACGATTCGGAATAATGTACCAGTGATGAGCACCACCTTCATGATGATAATCAATTGAAAAGAGACGCTGCCGAGCAGAAGTCATTGGAAATATAGCACCTGGCCCATATGCTCTTCTCACATGTGGAGCGAATTGACGTGTCACTTTAGTACCAGCGAGTTTAAGAAGTGATTGACGTGGCAAACGATGAATATCAAAATATAAACGAGATGTTTTCTCACTAAAGAAACTCTTATTAGGTACTGCTGAAGTGTTTACGAATCGTTGTTCATTGCTAGAACAAGATAATGAGGACCAGAAACTGCATTCATCAGTCACCAACGAAGTTTGTTGAGCATAATTGCGAATATAATCAAACTTTTGTGCGACGTACACAGGTTCATTTTTACTTATTCTTTCGATCGTTTTCTTACACGCGCATAAAGCTATGTTTTTTTTCTGTTTCTTCAAAGCTAATTTACAGTCGCTAGTCGGCTGAATTTTAAGCACACCGAATTCGCTCAAAAGCTTTTCATGTTTGTAAATAAGACTGATCAAGTTCTGCAGATCGCTGTCATTGATTTTAAACGTCGGAATATCCATTGAGATCGACGACATATAATGCTAGAA